CCCCCCAAAGAAAAAGAATAGAAAAGCATCAGCCTTGACCCTGACTATCCCCAGACGCCTGCAGCCATCCATGAGCGTGTCCAGACGTAGCGGTTACAGCGAGCAGAAGTGCCGTCTGTGGAACGACCCGTGCGAGCCGTGGACCAGCGACCCTTCCCGCGCCTGCTGCAACCCCCGACGTCATGTGTGTCAGTGCAACCTCTGGCTACAGAACTGTCGCTGCGGGACACGCCTCTGGGGCTGATAGATGGCCACCGGCGATAAGTGGCGGTGGATGTGACGTCACAACCGCGGCGCCCAATCAGAGGGCTACCTTCCCCCCGAGCCTAAACTTTATCAATCCAGTGCTTTGAAAGATAGGAAGATTTGTCTAAACTGGTTTTTAGAGCAAAAATATACACATACATGATCACAGAAGAAAAAAAATCATAAAGAGAGGAATGGCGATGTAGGGGAGACGTCCATATGGGAGAATAAAGATCAAAACAGTTCGACCAAAAAACATTGCCCCCCTTTCTTGTTTTTCTTTGATGGAGAATAAAACTGCAGCGAAGAAGATTGACATGTTCGTAAGTAATGATTTTATAACCAATTTCTTATCATAAAGGAATATTGTGTCTAGGGTTATGATGATGAATACATCTAGCCTAGTAGTAAAGGCTGTTAAAATATAGGTGACTGGCCGAGGAGATGAGAGAGAGAGAGAGAGAGAGAGAGAGAGAGAGAGAGAGAGAGAGAGAGAGAGAGACAGACAGAGAGAGACAGAGAGAGACAGACAGAGAGACAGAGACAGAGAGAGAGAGAGAGAGAGAGAGAGAGAGCGAGAGAGAGGGGGGGAGGGAAAGAGAAAGAGAAAGGGGGGGAGTAGATTACTACCCACTACAGAGCGCATTGTCAAAATCGTTGTACATTTAAGTAAAGCGAAGCTCATCGAGATAATTATGACGATCATTTAGGGCAGGGGCAAAAATGATAGAATATACAAACAGCAGAGGCAACGAAAAAGAAGTTCGACATTCGAGAGGTGAACTGTCGCCCATAGCACCCAGGAGCAGCCATCTATAGGCTACAGAACGTAATCCTAGTGCCATCTGCGGTTGTTCTGTCTGCTTGCTTATTTTGAGTTGTTGTTGTTTTTTTATTTATTTATTTTTTAAATTAATGTCTTTTGTCATAAAATTGCAGCTCTGAGCAAGCTTGTAGGGCAACATTAAATGCTAAAAACGTAATTGTGATTCCCCATGCACTATCATTAGACACAAGTCGAACGAACTTCTCCAACAAGATGTTTCTATACTTCTAAATAATGGCTCTACAGTACAGGCAGATGAAAGAAATAAAAATCACAAATCATCCCTACTCCCGACCCCATACACACCACGCCATCATATACACACGCACAAAGATTACGAGTGCAGAACCTCCGAATTTAGCCTGACGAGTTCCACTTGGGGTTCTGAAATCCCAAACTAATGACAGGCGATGGAGTCTGTCCTGTTTTGATCCAGCTACTGATTTTGTGCAGTTGCTTTCTTCATCCCTCGGCTTCATAGCTGATTAGGAATTTGCCCGAGGCTGTTGTTGATTTTTTTAATAGAGATGTTTTCGTACGGCAAGATATCATGTTAGGTTGTTGGGGGGGGGGGGGGGGGGGGGGGGTTTAAAATCTGAATTCCAAATAAAAAAACCCAAATAAAAAAAATGGGTTTGTTTGAGA